GGGACCTGACATCATAAAACTGTTAAAAGACATAGAATTTGAAAAAAAATATGACAACTTTAGAACAAAATGCTTCTAATGGCTTTAAAAAAGTGGTTTCAAAATTTTTAGGCAATAAAAAAGATCCTAATCATAAAAGTATTGTCACAGAAATGTTAAACGCCTATAAAAACTTGGGTTGGTTATGAGTTTGAAAGTCCATTTTTTGAAATCTCATATTGATTTGTTCCCAAAAAATTAAGGCGACTACAGTCAATCAAGATATAAAAGAGATGAAAAGAAGATATCAAGGCTGTTGGTACGTTAATATGATGGCGGACTATTGTTGGATGTTATGTAGAGATGAAGTAAAAACTCATAAACAAAAAACCAACAAAACGCAGTTTCCTTTTAAAGCAAACACGTTATTGATTGTTTTTTTTTATTTGTATTTTATTTTACTCTTTTTTATTTCTTTCAAACTCAATAAAGCTTATAAAATTGAAAAAAAAAAAACATTAACTTTCATTATTTTTAAAAATTTTGACTTGTAGTTATTTATATGCTTATACTCGTACTACATATACAAATAAATCTGAGAAGTGTGACGTGATATATACCAAATAAATGCTGTTTTATATTATTTGTAACGTAATTATAACAAATAAGAACAGTTTATGAAAAAAACTTTTCAAAAAAATAATTTCGCAGACCTGTGTAATTTGTGGTATTTCAATAACAACCTGACTGTGTATGTTTTTGATTTCGATTTTTGACAACGGTTGCATTCTATGTGCTGTAGTTAATGCCAGTAAGGTTAATGTCTTTTTAGTCAATTGCTCTAACATTAGGTCCTCATTTGGGAACCATTGGCTTATCTGATCTAAAACGCAATTCGTATCCCATGTAAAGTTATACTTTGGAAGGGGTGGTTGAAGACGAAACACACCCTTAAGAATCTCTGAACTCTGTCATCTTTACCTATGTGTGATCCTAATAAAAAAGATAAGGCAGATCTGCATGAATTCAATGTACCGAATTGACCACCATCGTTAAACAACACAGTAAGGAAGTAAATAACGGTAGGGACTGAAGCTGTAAATAAGTCAATGGAATTATTATTGCAAAAGGTCCACCATATTTTTTTTTTTTTTTTAAGAATACGTCATATTGACTGAGTGCATTAAGGATAATGATGCTAACATTATATCCAAGGAGGAAGTTGGTAAGCTCCTTCTTGATAACGCGTTCCTGGTAAGGTTGCTGCCACCAGGGTAATCGATTCGTGAATCCTTCGGGAATGTATTCAGTAGCGACGTCGTCCCTGTGTTTGAGACGGTGGCGGGCGGCGGTGGTGGCGGCGGCAGCGGTTGCGGACGCGGCCACTGCCTTGGGGAGGTAATCTGCGCGGAAATGCAGGCTCACGACTCCTCTGCGATGGGCCTGGTTGCCTGTACGCCGGCCCGGGAGCTTTCCGGTTTAACTGATTCTGATTAGATATTTTTTGCCGTTTACTTATATTTTTTGTAGAAGGGTCAGCCTTTAATTCGATTCCAGACTTGTTTATTGATTTTACTATCATAAGAGTTTCAGTCAATGTTTCGCCGAATAAAAATGAATCGATCTTTTTTAATGAAAACATTATAAAGTTTCTTCTAGTAACTGAATCGCTATGTTGAATATCGCACAGTAAACGACTGCGGTCCATTAGCTAAAGCAGTTATTCTTTATCCTTTTCCTTAGAGTTAAGATGAGCAATAATTATTTCTCCAAGACAAGCAATAGCACTGGCCATTTGCGTTTGTTTACCCTCTATGCCTTTGTCCCTCTTAAAGAGTATTTTCAAGTATGCCAGCCTTGATTTCAGGGTTAAGTTTTGGAGCACTAATAAGAGAGCAATTAGCAGCAATTGGGTACTTCGCTATCAGCTCCTTACGGATAACCTTATTAAGCCCCTCTATGGTAATATGAGTTAGTTGACAAGCGAGTTATGTCGGATATCATTACCGAGCTTCTCTAAGTGCGAATCCAGGTGTCCAGATCATTTTCGTTATGGACCCCTTCTTGGGGCCGTAACTCTGACTCGACAGGTGGTTCGTTAACGGTCGTCGCGTCGACACAGTCATCCTCAGTGTATAGTATAAGTTTTGAATGTCACTGATACCAATCATGGATTGTGGATCATCGTCATAATGAGGTTGTTCTAATAAACAATCACTCGGCACCATAGGTGGGGTGGCAGAAAGATAAGAAAATCGTTTGAGATTTTCATTCATATTATAACTATGACGATCATAGTCATCCATAAAAGTATGCGACGAATCAACCCCAACGGCAGTTCAGGTGCATACTTTTTGTTTTAACGTAAATACGTTATAGTCTGATAGGTACGATATGTACAATAGCAGTTTTAGATAACGATAGTTATCTTGTCAAAGTTAGGTAGATCCCCAATGGATTGAACGCTAACTGATTTACTGAATGCGTTGAATAAGCCCCAATGACTTTTCTGATTGCATTCCGTACCCATAAATTCGGGCACAAGTCACTAACTGAACTTTCCTTATCACATATTTTTTGTTCTAATTTACGCATTTTCTTTTGAGGATGTTTTAACTCTTATTCACATGTTCTAACTTTCATACGTTTCGGCATTTTAACGATCTGTTATACACGTTATTGGGAATACGACCGGAGCAGTCGGGCACTATAAAGCGAATGAAGATGGCAGGGAACGGTATCGACTAAGAAGATGAGAACTACCCTCGAAATAAAAAAAAAAAAAAAAAAAAAGCAAATGCAAAGAAATCTCAACTATAGTGCCGGAGTAGTGACACATATGCGATACTACTAGTAATATAATCTAATCAAATAAATACTAATCTCGAGAACGAGGCGCGAAGTATAATATAAATAAGCATAATATTGGCCAAAATGAATTTGTGGTGCTGGAATGCACAGGTAAACCATCAACATCTAGTGTTACAGATATTAATGAAGCATTATTAATAATAGTCTGTGGAAATTTTCTTTTCATTACTGGATAATTTTTTGTAATTAAGTCTGCTGATGCTTGTACTATCAACTGTGACTCAAGACCAAAGTATACATAGGCGCCTCCAGCACACTGTACAACATTAAAAGTTTTTGGGGTTTGTAAAAGGGTTCTAGCATCAGCTGGTAAATATTTATGATATAATCGTAATTCTTTTAACAAATCATTGAGGGCAGAGTGTGTAATATTGTGCTTTTTAGACCAGGAAACCAGAAATGCAATAATATTACTTTTTATTTCATTGTTTCTTGAAACAATATAAACAAGACTATTTATTGGAAGAGCACCTAGTTGAAACATAATCTATAAAAGGAATTATTGTATTATATTGCGATAGAACGCTATTAGATCCGGTGGACTTGTTTGGTCAAATCTAGAAGTATGTGACATTTTAAAAGTGCTATTTATCTCAGTTTTAATTTCTGTTACCAATAATGCAATATTCCGTTTTCTGGTCCTTTTAGAAAATCCTCTTATTGCTTTCTGTTGTGGATTAGGTTTCTGACGGAGCTCTTGTAGTTCTTCTCTTTTCTCTTCCTCCATCGCGATCTTTAGTAAATCTGAACCAACCACTTATTATATTCTGAATTTCAGCATCAGTTGCTAACTCTGCAATCTTATGATGATGTACAGCATCTGTGATAATTTCCAATAGGTGAGTTGCATATCACATACTACAAATACCGACCGACTAATGAACAATTATATTAATATTAATGTATAGCAATAATGAATTGTAATTTTATAATCAACACAAATAATCAATTAGTAAAAATGTTGTTAATTTAATTACCTTTTATTATCTTTACTATATGAAGATCCTTTAGGGAAGTCTTTTTATTTTTCCCTGTCCAGTTACAATTGATAGCAAGGTTTTTGTGAACACTTTTTCGAGTATCCTTTAACTATGGCTGGAGGTTTATTGCTGCCAATAAAACTCAAATGATTAACCTGCAAATGTTAACAGATTACTAAAATATCGCATCTGCTAGGTTTTACTATCTGCCATATTGCCATAGGTATTTTTAACTATTAAGCTCAATTTAGTAAAAAATTAAACAGACCTCTTATATCTGTCACTACCCATATCTTGAAAACTACTAAACCGAATTTGAAGAAACTTGGACTGTTCCCCAAGTTGAACAATACCTAACATATATCAAAAAGAATCATCTCAATACGACATAGTTTCCAAGAAATCCGTGGACAAACATACATACACTTACGAAATTAAGCACACATGCTTAGAGCCTAAATGGATCATCATACTCAAATATTATCCAATTCCAACAATATTATGTACATGTCGAATTGATAACCTCCTTTTTTGAAGTCGGTTAAAAATTGTAATGGTAAAAAGTGGTCCCTATCCGGAAATACCACTACAAGATATAAAACTATTGCACTTCGTTTAACCTAAGCTCTGATATTACAAGGCAATAATTTTTAACCGACTTAAAAAAGGAGGTTATCAATACGATACATATGTGTGTAATATTGTTGGAATTGGATAATATTTGAGTATGATGATCCATTTAGGCTTCCATGCACCTGTGCTTAATTTCGCGTGTGTCTGTATGCATGTTTATCCAGAGATTTCTTGGAAACTATTAAGTTGTTCAATACAACTTCATACATGATTCTTTTTTCATATAAAGGCAAGTGAAAAACATGCTATGTCACATTTTTATGTTTTTTGAACTGGCAATGCCATTGTGAAGTATAAATTTGGTAGAACGAAACGCCAAAACACACTTTGCAGTAACATGCATAGTCACGGAGTAATATGCATAGTAAAATATTGATACAGTGCAATAACAAGTAATGTAACTCGTACAGGAGAAAAATAAGCATTGTCCATCGTTGTTAGTTTGACATTTTTTAAATGACGTCTTGTTTTTTGAGGTTATTTTGTTCGTACTGTTGTGTTGTGTGGCGTGTATTTAATACTATATTTTTATTGAAAATGTCGTCAGATGAAGAAAACGAGGTCAATCTGAAGCAACCTACAAAAAAACGTAAACTTTACGGTCGGTTGTCGGATGTTAATAAGAAGATTAGTCTTCAAAGTCATGAAACTGGTCCAAGTTGTAATTGCAAAAGATACAAGTGTTTTGAAGCTGTGAATGCGGAACAGAGGGCTAGAATTTTGAAGGATTTCAACCTGTTGCCATCTAGGGATGAACAAAAGCTTTATTTAAGTGGTCTAATAAGTGTTTTGGAAATTCAAAGAAGACGACCTAGAAAAGAAGAACCTGAAGCTAAGTTACATACAGCAAATTACGCTTACAGAGTAGAGTTGTAGACGAAAACCAGCAGCTTGATGTGCCAGTGTGTGCCTCTGCAACAAGACAAAGAATATGTACAATAAAAAAATCGTTACTCACAACAGTGACATGAGAGGAAAGCATTGCAACCGTCCTTAAAAAACTGAGTCCAATGCTTAAATCTAAGGTCATGGATCACATAAGGTCATTTCGTGGAAGAAAAAGTCATTACAGCTTACATGACAGCTCAAGAATTTATCTACCAGAGGAGTTGAATGTCAAGAAAATGTATGATATGTTTGAAGACAAAAATCAACTATCCTACGAAACATATCGATCTATATTCGTTAATCATTTTAACATAGGATTTGGATATCCAAGAAGTGATACCTGCAGTACTTGTGATGAATTTCTGGCTAAGGCAAAAGCTCTCACAGTAAATCTAAAGAAAGCTTCCGAGCTTGAAAAAGGTGACATTGAAAAAGAAATAAAAAAGTTAGAAATTGAGAATAAGTTACATAAATTGAAGGCTACTGTTACTACTCTATAAACGAAAAAGAGAAACTAGAATTCAATGTCAGTCATCTTCTCGAAAGGAAGCTATTGCAATGGACTTTCAAAAAAATTTAAGGATGCCGAACATTACTACAAATGACGTTTATTATAAAAGACAATTAACCATAAATCTTTTAAACATCCATGAACTATCTACATCCAAATCATATTTTTCTGCTTCCCAGAAACTGTAGCAAAAAAAGGATCTGACGAAGTGTGTTCATTTCTCCGTCACTATATATTTAACATGCTTGATAAAAATACCCTAGAACTAGTGATATTTTGTGATTCCTGCGGTGGGCAAAATAAGAATTATACTGTGTTTCGTTTCATACACTATATTGTACACTGCAAAATGCTTGGATGTGATTAAAATCATATTTCCCATTAGTGGGCACTCATATTTAGAGTGTGACAGAAACATGGGTTGCATAAACCAAAAATCACCTTGTGAAACGCCTGATGAGTGGGTAAAAGTGATTCGTGAAGCTAGACAGAAGCCATGCCCCTTCCGTGTAATTAAAGTTGATCAACCTCTTGTCAGAAAATGGACAACCTTTCTATCCCCAATGAATAAGAAGACATGTCCTTTTTTAACTCAACCCATAAGAGAAATCAGGGTTGAAAAGGATCATCCAAGATTGATTTTTCACAGAGAACATTACAATTCCTCTTGGACGTCATCTATTCTCATGGCACCTAAAAAAAAGTTGAAATCCCATAATGACTCTCATAGTGCTGGAGAGTTTTTACTGCCAGTTCAGTTCTCAGTTCATTGTCTTTGTGACATTGCATGTTTTTCCTCTGTGCCCTTCAAGTATTAAAAAAGTTTTCATAATAGTTTTTGACAGTATTATTATCAATGTACAGAGAAGTCAATACTTAGTCAAACTTTATGGTAAATAATAAAAAAAAACATATGAATACTTGCCAACTGTTTATAATTATCATTTGAAATCCAATTTTCTAAATCTTGTAAAGATTGTTAATCATCACATGGTATTTTAATACCATCAGCAACAACATAGCAGGTGATAGAGTTGAAGATTAACCTTGCTAAGATCGATGCAATGTTAAATCCAATGATACTGAAATATAATAACAATAATGTCATTTATATGCATTTAATAAGAATTTAATATAAATATTAATATAGCATATTTGTAAATAACAAATCTTAGGTGCAGCCTAATGTAAAACAAAAAAGACTGAATTAATATTAAAATAATAGTTATCTAGTACATACTCGGTGGAACAGAACGACCGACACTCTCGAGGTTCCTGGAGAGTACTATTTGTCTTAATTATGATATACAAAAATTATATGTCTAGGTCAAATAGTTTCGGAGATATTCAATTATAAAGTTTTTGGAAAAAAATGAGTGTTTTCAACCCTGAGTCAGCTGTTTTTGGGACGTACTAAGGAACAAGTTATTAATCGGTCATTGACTTCTTCATTTCTAAAAACGAAATAAACTAGTTTATGATTTATGAGACCGCTTTCATGCAAGTTCTACCAGACAATCACTAAACAAGGCAGTCGAAATGCTTTAATCGATTAACAGACTAACAGCCGGTTTCTGATTTGAAAAAAGTAGAAAATCTCTACTGATTATTCGCAATAACCTAGGTTTTTTTTTAAATTTCTGTGTTGTGTTATGGTTGTGTTACACGCATTGTTAAAGTACGAACAGGACGCTATTCTTTTTAAGATTCTAATGAACGAGAAAAGATTCTCCAAGTGGTTACAATGTCTTAGTGCTGTGTGTGATACTGAAAATTTGAATCCAGGCAGAAGTGTCATTTATAGCAAACACTTTATACCAAGATTCATTACTCAAAAATTACGACTCTTGGGTGACGCATATCCGTCATTGTTTAATGATGATGGGCTCTCAATCAGCCTACCTTCTTCAAGCAATACTGGTAAGGCTGGTTTAATCTGCTATTACCTTTAGATGATTAAATTAAAATGATATGTAACTTCACCTTATGTTGTGTTTTTGAATACTGCTATTCTTCATTAGATTTTTTTTTTTATTACAGAAATTATATTCACTTGAGAACACAGCTATGCAAGAAAAAGTCATGTTGACCACACATATTAGAAAGTGAAACTGAACAGAGGTTTGTTTTTAATTTATTTTATTTAGATATTAAAGTTCATGCTGCAGTTTTGGTATATTTTAACATAGATTTTTGTTTTAAAAAAGTCTAGTAGATCTCTCTTTCTCACACATATAAAGAATAATTACATTAAGTTACTTAACTCTAGCAGGCACGCTAGAAGTGATTTTGATCAGAGAAAAAATTAATAATATACTTAAATAACATATTTCTAATGTCATCTAAGATTATATCCTGTTTTTTAATCTTACATACATAATCAATATTGATTTCATAGGTGGTGTAATTTTAAAAGAACAAATTGAGACTCCTGTGTCTGCAGCCACTGAGTTTACTCAATGGAGGGGAAAAATGAGATGACTGACTGACTGACCTGTCTGGCGCTGGTTGCTGATGTTGTTTTGAGATTTAGATAACAGCCGTCCTTTCCTTTATCTCTTCTTCCCCAACAATTTCAGCTGATAGCACGCGACCGCGACGCTAGTACGACGTGCGTATCACTACTTTTTTTGATGATGAATTCGAGACAACGCGAAACCGTGTCTACTGATGCCCAAGCAATGAATGTCAATTCAGTCTGGGGTTTTTTTTTATAGGAAAGGTAGGCAGGAAAAATAATGAAAACTTATTACCCTCATATAAAAAATAAAAGAAACCAATACAATGACGCACCACTCAATTAGTTGCTTGCTCTGGAGATTGAAATATGACACAAATTAAATTATCTGGTAAGACCTGTCTCTTTATTTGTGTATCTGTATTTCAATCAAATAGTAGTTCTAATAGAGAAATTCATTGAATAATTTTGATGTTACAGACCCTGTGAAATGTACCCAAACAAAAAGGAAAAGGCTTATTACCAAATAAAGCCAATTGTCACCTTTATACCAGAGAATTTATGAAGAATATAACAAGCTAAAGACGTAGTTGAACTTTCATAAAAAAGTTAAGAACACCTTTTGTACCACAAAGTTTTGTAAAAAGTTATCATTTGAAAAGGTTTTTTTTTATGGGATAGGCGGCAGACGAGCAGACGGATCACCTGATGGTAAGTGATTACCGTCGCCCATTGATACTTGCAACACCAGAGGGGCTACAAGCGCGCTGCCGGCCTTTGAGGGACGAATATGATCATAGGGAGGGGTTGGGCCTCCGGTACCCTCACTCACACGACGAAACACAACGCAAGCGTTGCTTCACGTCGGTTTTCAAGTGAAGTGCAAGGAATCTTATACGGTAAAGTCACTACCGAAGAAAAGATAACTGCTTTATCAATATTAAAGCAGAGTCTAAAATGTTATCGAATTTTAAGCAAAGGACAATGTATAATTTTTGCCCGAGCACCGTTAGCATGCAATTTATAAACATAAATATTAACTCATTTTATGCTATAATAATCAAATGTCAGTATAAAACAGACACTTCAGATTCTCATAAATACTTTAAATAGGTTTAAATTGGATACAACGGTTATCGTTGATGTTATCGTATCCTACTAAAACCCGCCGGCCATTTTAAATAAAAACAAAATAATCACTTAGCATTTTAAGCGCTTCAGCGAAACTGCGGTTTACTGACCGCAGTTTCGCTTTGATTGAAAATGTATATAGCGTTAAAGCGCTTGACAGCGCCTACATTGACTTGCTATTTTTGACATTCATGTTCATGTCAATTGTCAATCATTCGTCGATCTCATTCATTCGTGTTGTTGTTTGTCGCGGCGTCTGAGTGTTTTCGATTTTCCGAGTTTCTTTTGGTGTTTATATAAATAACGACTTTGCTATAACAACGGACTGATTTCCTCTTGAAATATTGACCTCTGGCAGTGATTTACGGACCTACGAAAGATAACTTGGCATTCGTACACGGATTTGATAAGCTAAAATGGATTCGGATTTTGATTGTTTATTTTGTATCAACTGTGGCTCAGCCTCTGGTTGTATAATGTTACAAGACGAACAAATTCTCCACTGCATACAAGAATGGACTGCTCCACGTTTGGTAAGTAAGATCTCTGATTTTGTTGTTGAGAATAACTCTTTTATTGTTTTATCTGCACGGGTGGCGCAGTGATTTAAGCGGTCGCCTTGCCGCTATACTACCGCGCCGAGTGCTGTGGGTTCGGTCCCCACACAGGACAACACTTTCATCTGTAAATTGTCGTTCAGAGTCTGGGTATACTTTGTGTCTGTTGAAGTTTGTAAAGGTTTCCGCGACACGGAATTTATTCCTAGTGCGGGAGATATCTTTTCAAAAAAAGAACGAAACCAGATACTGATAATTAGATCAATGGCTTTAATGGCAATGAGAACATAATTTGAATGTAATATAACTATGTGATCATATCAAGCCTTAG